TATTTCTATGATTAATTGTGTTTACCACGCATCAAAATGGATTTTTTCCCTTCATATACCCTTTGATTCCTTTATGATTAAATCTTCTCAATTTAATTTAATTTTTTTAGCCTTGGATTAGTTCAGTTAGAATTTTTTTTTTTAACATACGCGCTATGGCTTACATTATGTATACATATAGTGTGTCAAGTGTATCCTGTCTCTATAGCTCTTCTTCGTTTTACCGTCTATTTTAAGCAGATAGAACGTCTTCCAATCACCAAAATTAGTTGATTTTTTAGTTCTATTCAGATACAAGTTGTAGCAGACATTCATGAACAACATACACAAGAGCACTCACAAAAACATGCTACAATGCGAAAAGCATTAAGTAATGCTGAACGCCAAAAACGATTTCGTGCTAAAAAAAGAGCATTAAGTAATAGATCAACTCAAAGTAGCTTTCATCAACCACGAACTGTGCTGAACGTCAAAGATTATACAAAGCAAATAAGAAATTACGACAAAAAATACAGAAACTCAAGAAGAAGAGTTTATACAAACCCAAGAAGAGCAATATGTACAACATCTCGTTAAAGAATGTTAAATATTGCAAATAAAAAAGATATTTTACATTCAAAAGGAAATTAAATTACATTTTACCTATTCCTGATCCATTTATAAATTATTAGACTAACGAGAATATGAAAATTACAAAATAAAATTATTATTGACATCATGCGTTAAACAGTTCAATATTTTATGGTTTCTATTAATTTATGAAGTTATCACTTCTGTCGAGCGTCCCGTGGCGCACACCATTTTTTAACAGTGTAAGTTTATCTGTAGGTATTTTCGTTGTCGATGTTGATTTCAATAAATCCATTAAACAGACCTGTTATATTTCCACTCGTAAAACGCCAATGAATTATTCATCTGACGTCGTTAAATATTCAAAATAGATACGTTTTCCACAATAATAATGGAAAGCCCAGGGGAAAAAATCCCCAATTTTAAAGTTCCGGCTGCAGGAATCGTTCGCCGCTTTTTCACGCCTAAAAGCTTATTGATATACGCCCGGTCGGCTGTCCCCAAAGGCCAAAGAGTTGTTGAAAACGTCCTTTGTTTTGTTGTTTAAGGACGATACTGACAGTGAAATATCGTTCGACCGAGGCAAGAGTGAAAAGTGCGAGAAGGAGCTGAGCAACATCAATTTTCGCAAACACCGCCGCACCTCCAGGTTTGTGGAACGGGAAAAGGACGCTCTGAACAATCGCGCCAATAGTCTGAAAAAAGCCCTGAGGAATCTGGTGAGTATTTCACCAGAAACCCACAAAAACCAAGCCTGAACATTCGGGTTGTTTATGAGGTTTGCCTCCTAATGGTTTCAATCTTCTCTCAATAAAGTACAGGTTTCAGGAGTGTTATTTTCAGGCTAAACCCAGCTGATAACAGCTCTAAACCGGACCTGGGGTGCCTGACATTAGCACATAGTGGAATATAATCTGTCTATAGTACTTACATCGCTGTTCACAATTTAACAACGTATGAGACACGCGTTATTATTAAGACATTGCTAGAGAGAGTTTTGTTGTTGGTGTTTAATAGATCTTAGCCCATGTTTCTAAAAGGTCAAAACAGCAGCCCAAGCTGAAAGTCCAGTCTTTTTGTGGTGAGTGCCACGAGTCGCGTCTCTTACGAAATACGGGCAAAAGAAGACCCGAAGAAAATTACCGTGTTGGCATATTCAAGAAGCAGGCAAGCGTAAAACAAGGCAAAACATTTGCATGATCCTGCGGGAATTCCAGGGCGTCCGTGTAGTTGGGGCGCCGGATTAAATCCGGACAGTTAGAAAGTAATTTTCGGGGATTTCTAAACTAAAAACGTGACCAGAAGCTCGAATAGCTGAAGGGCGAAACCCCAGCTGCAAAAGGTATAACGGGGAATGATTCGATACTGTTTATGGTAATTATTATTATTATTATAATGCCGAGGAGAATATGCTGAAGAGTAACTAGGATAACGAAGGGAGTCGAAAGCACTGTTCTGTTCAAGGGCGGATCCAGGGGGGGG